CAGTAAAGATGTTGATCCCTGCCCTGGGAGAGTAAAGGTGCTGATCCTCATCCTGGGGATGGTAAAGATGCTGGGAGCAATTGTACAAGAGTGCAAACTAGACTCAAAATCAGAAAGAAAAGTAAAGTACTGAGGATGCTGCAGATCAAAGTAAAACAGGAAATGGTGTGGAAACTCCTCAGACCTGCCATCTGTAGAGACAAACACAGAATTAATGTTTCGAGTTCAAAGTCACTCAGAGTCAACTGAACTTGAAATGATGAATCTGCTTCTCATTTCAGAGAGGGTGTTCTTGGTTCACTAGGATAGACTAAAACAAGGCTGACTGTAAGAATCTGACATGGAGGTGAATCCTTTCTTGAATATGCTGAATTGCTCACATTTAGTGTGAAAAGCTCTATAATTGAGAAAATTATACATCGATCTCTCGAGGCTGCATGGTGGCACAGTGGTCAGCACTGCTGCGTCACAGCACCGGGGACCTGGGTTTGATTCTCGCCTTGGGCGACTGTGTGGAGTTTGGACATTCTCCCTGTGTCTGCGTGGGTTTCCTCCAGGTGCTCTGGTTTCCTCCCACAGTCCAAAAATGTGCAACTTAGGTAGATTGACTATGCTAAATTGCCCATAGTGTCTTGTGTGCAAAATGCAGGGATAGGGTAGTGTGTGAGACTGGGTGGGATGCTCTTTGGAGGGTTGGTGTGGACTCAATGGACTGAATGGCCATCTTCCACACTGTCGGGATTCTAAGATGATCTCGATGGCCCTTTATTTGTTAGTTATGCCTGGTCAATATGTCTGCACACCTTTACAATTACGGATTCTATTGCTCTCCACAGACATGTTTCAACTTTTAATAGATATTTGTTTATTGGAAACAATATAATCTTTCATTTTGTGGATAACAATCAAAGGAAAGTTTTAAATCCAAACAAAAGATTGGGATGAGTCATGTACTATATCTCTGATGGCATTTTCCCAATCTGCTATGAAACCTGGTGACCATTGTGACTCTGTCCAGGGGGAAATGCAGTCTATTCAGATCTTTACCTGGTGTCCAGAGCAGTGACGGATCGCATGATGAATACATAAACCAAGACATTGTATGATCTCTAGTGTATATTTTCTGTTTAGTCTGCTGTCCATCACTCCCCAGAGACCCAGATAACATTCTGGGGACCTAGGTTTGAATCCCACCATTCCAGATGGTGGAATTTGAGGTAGAAAAAATATCTGGAAACAAGAATCCAATGATGACCGTGAATCCATTGTCATTGTTGGAAAAGCCCATCTGTTCACCTATGTCCTTTAGGGAAGGAAACTGCCGTTCTTATCCAGTGATGTCATCATCCCCTGAATGAATTTATTAAAAATTAATTTTAAAAACTCCTGCAAATACATTTATCTCTGTCTTAATTTATTTGATAACTGACAGTTCAAACTGGTTGATGGTCACTTTCACTTTTGATCAAGTTGTGGCCATTTCATGTTTGAAACAAAAAAAAATGCATGAATGGAACCATAGTTGTTCTCGTAGGAACAATGCGTGCTCTGACATGTTTGAAAAAATACCTCATCTCACTTATGAACCAGATATCAAAGTTGACCATATCCCAATGCTGTGTACCATGAAAGCGAAATTCTTCACCATCTTATCTACTTGTGTTGCTATTTCAGGGAGCTTTGGACTTGAACCTCCCAAACTGCATCACCTCAAACTGAACTTCAAATGCCGTTTCTCTGCACAACATTCCAACTGATCTATGTCTCATTTGAACTTGCCCCCCTCTCACATCAAATGCATGCCCCTTAGTATTAGACATTTCCACTCTGGGAAAAAGGTTCTGACTGTCAATTCCAGCTATGCATCTCATAATTTTGTAGACTTCTATGAAGTCTTCCTCGGCCTCCACTGCTCCAGAGAAAACAACCCGAGTTTTCCTAATGTCTCCTTATAGCTCATACCCTGTAATCCAAGCAGCATCCTAGTAAACCTCTTCTGCACCCTCTCCAAAACCTCCATAGCCTTCCCGTAATGTGGTGACCAGAATTGAACACAATACTCTAAGAGTAGCCTAACTAAAGCCTTATAAATTTGCAACATTACATCTTGTACTCAGTATTCCTTTCGTCCTTGCACAAGTCTCTTCCTTGTCGAGTCCGTGAGCTTCTGCACTTTCCCACACAGCTCTTTCATTTACAACTTTACCTCACAACATTACCCAACCCGGAGTCCCAGCCCTACAGCTTCGCCATATACTGCACTCTCCCCACATCAAAACCATGATGGCAGTGAACAATGACGACTTGTACTTCCACAACAACCCACGTCCTTTGTCTCCCTCTGTCACTAATATGTTGACTTTCCCACTGATTCCACAATTAATGTCCACTCTTCCTCCAAGCAGGCTGTCCCCACCGCCCAGTAGTGACTTCCCCAGCTTCACCAGTACTGCAGTGCCCCCCGAACACCTTGAGAATTTCATCAAACTGACCGCTTATGGCAGGAACGGACAGGGTCAGCTTGGATTGATGAACATAATTCAGGCTCAGCAAATCTACTGGAGCATTTTGAGGATGTAACTAGTAGTGAGTGTGTCCACCTCTCTGTACTGTAGTGATACAGATTCCCTGATCCTGATTGCCCCAAATGGCTGACTGTGATAAAGTCCCTGAGCTGATATCAAATGATTCCTTGGACATGTTGTGTCAGGATCTCCTGCCTGAATCCTGTCTCCCTTGCCCTGACTGAGAACTGTTTCCCTGAGACTTTGAGACGTGACCATTTGGTTGAAACACATGCGTTTGTTGCCTCAGCTGCTGACCAGCCCTTGACTGTCTGCTGGTAACAACAATGATAAGCTGCCTGGCTTATGCCTGCGATAAACAACCAGGCAAGACAGGAGCACTGT